AAAAATATGACACAAAGTACAGTACAAAGAGAGAGAATGCTAACCTTGCTCAACGCAACTTCTGGCATGGAGGACAGGAAGGCGGGTGGGGAGGCGTTTATTGCTTGGAGGGAGAGTCCCCCTCCCTACAGGAAACCACGTGTCACGGGAGGGAAAATGGCCGCGGATCCTGTTCGCCACCCGATCCGGCGTTCACGAATGGAAGCAAAATTTTGCGAACGGTGCTGTTCATGATCTGAATTGGTCGTGAACAGAAGCGTTCGTGACCCGAGGTACCACTGTACCTACCTGAAAGTTTGTACTGGTGTCAGTGGTTCACCCATAAAGGAATCAGACAAGGATGTATTCTGGCCCCAATATTTAATCGCTATATCAGTGATATCCCATGATAAATTTATTGAGGTTCCTTTATATGCAGACAACATAGTTTTAATGGCATATTCTCACGATGGCCTGAGAAGACTGCTGTGAAAATTAGCTACCTACTGAGCCTCTAACTCCCTAAATGTCAACAAGGCCAAATCCAAAGTAATGATATTCAGCAAGGAACATGCTATATATAACTAGCATTTGGAGGGGGAGCCCACTGAACAAATTAATTTATTTCCATATTTAGGGGTGGCCTTTACCAACACAGTGTTGTGGGCAAAGCATTTAAAAACCTCAGTGACAGCTGAGGCAATTTCCAAAAAATTATGCCAACCACTCATCTATAACTAACCAGATACTTTGATTCCTGCACTAAAAGTATATAGGGGGAAAAGAAAAAAGAAACACCTACATTGTGAAACTTTTCAAAAGCCCCTTTATCTGAACAACACCAGACCCCATTTCCTAAGAAGTATCCTGGGAACTGATCAGAATAAGTTAGCCCCATAGTTATTGCTGAAATGGGTATTTACCCCATATGCAGCCACTCAATAATTAAAGCCTCCAACTATTGGCAGAGTATTCTTTCAATGGACCCTGGAAGGCTTAACCAAAAAAGTAGAACTTGCTTTATCTCTGTTCTCCCCTTTCATACTTTCTTCTTGCCTTAATTCCTGCCTAATTTAGTTCTTAATTCCCTCTGATCTGAGAGAACAAATCTTTTCTAGATGAGGAGTGGGGAGCTCAAGAACAGAAGAGTATGAGACACACAGCAGCAAGGTCTATAACTCTCTGAGGTCACCTTCTCATCTGTCAGATACATAAAGTGACTGAGAGAAGGAACAGGAGGAAGCTCTGTAGAAGCTAAATGACTTGCTCAATTATTTTTTGGAGGAGTGGAGAAAGCTGGCAAGGGGCTCCATGGTGTTCAGTGGCCTTGTAGAACTGTTGTGACAGCCTGCCAAACTGGCACTTGGAGGAAGAGCACAGGTGCCTCACAACTCTTCAGATCCACTGAATACAACAGGGCCTCCAAACCAGCCTTCTCTATACCTCTAAAGCTCATTTAGCTTGTGCAGAGATT